TTTTTTGATGTTATCATGTGTAAACACTTGCTTTAATAAGTCTATATGCAAAAAATAATAAAAATCCATGACATGCGATGTGCCACCCATTGCCTGATTTTCAGTGGACTGCCTCTTAATAAACTTGAGTCTACATACCTGAGGATGTTTCCATACAAGTTTCGGGTTCAACCAATCAGGAGAGGCCTTGTTATCATGTGATCATTGTTTATCTATCACGATAATTGACCTGTTTTTAAAAAATTCTTTTGAACCTACCATGAAATATGTGGAGATAACGAACAGTATAATTATACATTCGCGCTCAAAAGTCCAATAAACATTAAAAAATAGTAGCGAAGCAAACACGGACCTCCAAAACATCAGGGATTGGACCAGGGGCCAGGGAAGAGTGAGCATTTCACTCCTTCTTCCACCATGGCAGTTTTTTGTGTAGTTTTTTAGTAGGTTTAACCTACGCTTCTTGATGACAAACAGCAGTTTAGGATATTTTTTGTATGTTTTTACCTGATATATTATAAATTTTGTTTTTTAAAAGCTCAACTTATGATACATGTATAATGTACCTTATCAAAGTTTTTCAATGTTTGGAATTCTTCTTCTAGTGTTGTTGACCTACCCCCTTTTTCCCTATGTACCAAGTTACAATATTATTATGATGTAGAGGGCCAAATTGTTCTATAATTCGCATGTGTATACTACTCTATATTTTTCTCCCTCTTTCTGACCCCCATTGTTCTTCTATTGTTAATTTTGTTTTTACTACTTTTCGTCATTTAATTCAATAAATGCAATTTTTCAATCCATTCAGATTTATACAGCTCCCATACATTGCCAATATCTCGCCTCAATTCCCCGTGATTCTTGTCACTGATGAAAGCCTATTTTCCTTTCTCTAAATTACTGCTTTTCTATACTGACTTATCAAACAGCGTTCTATCCAATCTTCCGGAATTTTTATACTACATTATTCAGAGTAGTCTTCTCTGAGGGAGGACAAGTTATTTTGTTATACCCTTATAAATATCTTTCTATATATTTATTACCAATAAAAAGTCCAACAAAAGGAATGTTTATTACGTCGGTCTAACAATTTCACTATTGACCGGTCTTACATAAGAATTGTTAGACCGCAACGTCACTCGTCTGTTACGTCACAATTAATAATCATCGTTCAATATCGGCGACGCGAAAACAGCCGAAGTTAAGAGCTACAAGAGTTGTTGCAACAGCTAGGTAGGGAAGAAGGAAGAATATATTTTGTGATAAATAATTTTTGTGATACAATAGATATATAATTGATTTTTTTCTTTTTCAGCTTGATGTTTTATATTTACTGAAGAAGCCATAATTTTCCATACAAAATAATTAATAATATAGCGTGTAATGATTAAATTGATCACTCTTAAGTGGGCAGTGAAGGGTATAACAAAACAGTCATAGACTGGGATTCGGGCAACATATGATTTGTTGGACCTGAAGGTAAAAATGTTGCCCTTGGCCTGCGGCCTCGGGCAACATTTTCACCTTCAGGTCCAACAAATCATATGTTGCCCTCATACCCAGTCAATAACTGTATAATATTTTGCCCTGCATCTGGGTATATTTTGCGTTTTTACTAATCATTACAATACTAATTGCGAGGTTATTATTCTTTACATGTATTTAATTGTAAACGGATTAAAAAAAATTCTCGTTATTTCCAGATCATGATTAGGAGCACACGGCAGTGTGACACCAGTCTTTCCAGATCATGAATAGGAGCACACGGCAGTGTGACACCAGTCGACAGGGGATGTTCACTCCTTCATGGCATCTTATCCCATCCTCCAGATTTTCAATGAACATTTTCAATATGAAAAAATAGTACTTAAAAAAGGGGGGCATCCCCTGCCGCAGAGATACGTCCCTGGATTTTACAAATTTTGTCAATCAAGCCCTAGCTACATGTATGTCGAAAACAGTGTCAAAAAAGGAATAGGTAATTGAAATCACAGGACCTCGGATTTGTCATGTTTCAGTGATGAGCTATCCAATTTTTAACGTCACGGATGCTTCAGGGTATAATCTAATTAGCGGAAACAGAAGAAAGTATCTGATTTTAAGGATACTGGAGCTGATCTAGTTAGTTACAGTTTTTGAACATATTAACGATATAAAAATGGGGATATAATCAAGATTTATTTGTATTAACAGATTTTTGAGTATCTTGATCCTATCGAATATTCCGGTAATTAGACAATATTATGTAATCCTAGTGATCTGGCTAGGCTACCACTGTAATTGAAATATAACAAAACAATGCATATTGAGTGAGAATTGTCATTTATTAAATGAAAATAAGTATATAACACAACTTCAGTTGAGAGGAGATCACCGTGATATTTCCTCAGTACAAAAAACAATAAAATTGTCAATGGTATCTCCACTCTGTTGCAAACAATCATCAGTTTAGCAAAAAATATTTTGACAAATAAAAAGTACATAAACCACAAAGTTGTCAAAAAAGCTGCCATCAAAAGCAAACTGCTATGCAAAGCTGTTTGTGAAAAACAACGCGTGTTTTATTTTAATGACAGTATTTCGTTATGTAAGACAATCAATAGGCATGTGATGTCTTAAGGTACTAGTACTTACATATTATTTCCAAATAAGGGGAAATTTTATTGCGAAAATTATATCAAGATCATAAAACGCAGCAATGCTTAGCCCCACCTCACACGTTTTGTTTCAGCATAAATCACAACTACTTTGCAAACACATGATCGACACTGCATGTAACATCTACGTTGTCATCATTTCCCTCATGCTGACTTAGAATTTTAACCTGGGATGAAAGTTTACCAGGAGGTAATTTTTCAACGCCAAATTTTGAGACCAAAGGTGTTGAATTAAGACCCCTGTCCAGTGAAATTTGATTATGAAACCGGTTCTAAATTCATCAACATAAAAAGACATATCAATGAATTGATATTCACAACTATGATTGAATTACATGTATGCGTTTAAACATGATAAAACGCATTACATGTATTGTATCAGACCCTAATAATTTCACGACAAACTTTCAAGAGCACCAGCATTTTCAAAGAATTTTAAAAATCCCATTTCAGATTTCATTGCAACACTCACCATTACTTGTCTTTGAAATTACTGGACTCTGGGATGACTTCATGTCTTACATTGAATCACAAGATCGTGCCTTGCCTGTTCACTGAAATGAATTCTTTATGTTGTATCTAATGACCTAAAGTTGTGTCAAGATCTTGAATCATGCACATGGTCATATTCCAAGCCTTAAAATAGTAAAATGTTTAAGTATCACTACCTGGGAACCTTTTTGTAAGTATTTGGGTACGTATATATGGCAAAGGTTTGTCAAGGATTTGATTCAAGATAATAAGTCAAAAGTCAATGGACAGTAAAATTGATGTGTATCCTTTAATTTTTGAACCTTTAAATTTTAGTACATCAATGCGCATGACCATGACCTAGAGATATGTTAAGGTCATATCTTATAAAGTACACGAAACTGGAAATTGTGAATTTTTCTATGCAGGGCCATACCTCTAGTATCATTTTACAGACTTCGAATTCATTTGCTGCTGCGCACAAGTTGAAACAGTTAAGTTTAGTATCTCTGACATAATTAAGTTGTGTCATTTATCATGATCTCGAGGTCAGTAAACAGGTACAGTTACTAGAAGTTCCTTTCCTTAAATGTCTTTAATTACTCTATTTCCTTGTACATTTTTAACAAAATCGCCAAACATTTACAACATATCTGCATTTAACACTGAAGTTCCATCATATTTGCATACTACTTTTGAAACCTCATTTTGAGCAGGAACATCCTGAACGGAAGAGAGAGATTACGGAACTGGTGGCAATATAATTACTGAACCTTCCTGTGCGCTTTCATTGGGTAATCAATATAATTACAGAACTGTCTCCGTGTCTTTGATTCGGTAACCACTAGGTGCATCATTTAATGCACATAAGCCATCGAGTCATCGATTCTCTATTCACTCCCTTTATTCCTAAGACTGGTATACTGTCTGTATACTCAGTCATAGTTTTTAATATGCAATGTTCCAAAAATAAGAAATGGAAAAGGAAAATGACTAGCTCCCTGCTCATTTGTTTTATTTTTGTTCTACTCCTTAATGATTATATATAATTCTTATATTTAATTTAATTATTCTAGCAAATTAATTAAATTTATAAGCTTCAGACGGGGAACTCTAAGAAAATAAGCTTTTAAAAAATATGAAATATTATTTTTGAACTCTTATTTTGTTTCAAGAAATTCCAATAACTCTCTATTTGATCACGCATGTCTTGACAATAATAGTATTATAATCGCTATTTTTATGTGAGAATTTCCACTTTCGTTGCTTTGATGGTATTAAAAGTCCCATGCGTTCATATACCAAACGAAGTGTTAAATTTTTGCCCCATCAATTTGAAATCAATGCTTTACCAACGAAATCGAATCTCCTAGAATCAAAATGTTTATCCTCATTATTTGACCTTACCAAAATTTTATATCACAATATGTAACATATTTCTAGTTAGAATATTGAACAGTGCAGTAATCTTGTAATTGTCTAATCGTTCATAGAAAATATACTGCTGACTAAGATTACGATAGTAAGAAGAGATGACCTAGGTTGTGTTACTGAAGAAAAAGTCAAAGTCAATGTATAATTGCCTCCACCCACGTAGATGTATGCTGTTGAAAAAATATTGAAAGGTGGCAACAGCAAATATTAAAGATCAAAGGGCTATTGAATATCCTTTATACTTTAGTTTGCAAAATATTATATTCTCTATCCTTATAAGTTATATAAAAAAGGATGTATGTTTAAAAAAAGCAAACATGTTGTATTAAAAGGTAACTCGTAGAAATGTGAATTATTCATGGAACATTATGTGCTATATAATGCTTCATTGTAAACAGTTAAGTAATTCTTATATTGATCTTCTCATTCAGCGACCGGTCCAATTTTCACTTTCAAAGATACACCAGAGTCGAAAAACAGAGAGTGGAAGCAATCTTAATTCCGTATCAAATTTGAAGCAAATTAATATCCTTCATCATTTCTTTGAGCAATCAACACGGAGGAAGAGACATGAGACTGGACACGTAAGTAATGAAATAAAAAGACGGTCACGCAAAGCAACAAATATTTCAAAGATGTTGTCGAAGAATTTGGCAGTTTTATTCTGGAGGAAAAGAACAGTATCAGAATGACCGAAAATTTGTCGTTTTTACACCCCTACTGGCACAATTTTGAAAAGGTTTCTTCTACGTATCATATTACAACTGGAATTATGATGGTGTTTGTAACTATTGGAGCTGTCGCAGGAAACGGACTCGTCGTTTGGAGCTTCGTCAGGTATGCATGGACAGTACATTGTTTATATTTTGCATAATATAATAAGAGCAAAATTGTTAACAGGAGAATTTTTGACTAGTTCTTGTAATGTAAATAGTCCTAAATACAAATTCTGCTTTGATAATCAAGTTTTCTCGCGCAACGTAAACTGAGACCCAGACTCAGAATTATTATTAATTAAGGTCATCTAATTTTCATATCCTGGAAAAAATCTTCCACTAATTTATCTATTAATTTATTTATAATGTACTGTCTGTATAACATCAAAATGCTCGTATAGCTCTATGCTATAAACTTGTATTCCACATGCAGGTTGCATCTATATTGGAATGATATTGCTGCAATTGAAGTCGGACTATTTTATCACTGATTAGTTATTGTTGCATTATCGTAAATGAAATGACAAAAAAATCATTGCAAAGGAGTTTGAAATAGGGATGCAATGTACGTCGGAATTGCAATTTATTCTTCATGACAGGCATGCGAATCGAATAATGCGCTATAAATTCTTAAGATTATCAGTGCAATTCGTTTTACCATTCTGATATCATACCATTAGATTTGATATATTATTGTACTATAGGTAAAGCGCTGTTTTTCTTGACCATCTCCTGAATAAAAAAATATATTTATACATATTTATATTAACGAAACATGAGAGAAATACAAGGTGTTGTAAGTTAAAAAGTTCTAAACGAATGCTTATTAACGATTTACATACATAAAACAATGTATACATTCAAATTGATTATCTGAGCTTGGTTCTCTATATAGTTTAAGCACTCTTGACAGAAAAATTAAACATTCAGTGTATTATGCCCTATAGATGAACATTGATTTTTTTTTACATGAATTATGAATATTATGCTTTCTTTATTAGAAACAAAAATATCAAGAGGAGGGATTGGCTGTCAGTATTTTTCCTTTTATTCACATTTCAAAACATTGGTGAATTCGTTAGCCTGCACTTATTATTGAATTCTTTCAGTACATCTTTTTTCAGGAACACAAAAACCGTAATTCATTTTTTTTTTACCTTACTAGCTCTAACAAGGTCGTGCATTGCCAATTTGCAACGAAATTGCTGAATCATTTGAAACAATATTATATGGGGTCATTGATAATATAAAGTTTGACTTTCTGGCTTTGAAGTCAAGAATCAAAAGTTTTTCTTTCAAAATATGAATTTGTTATCTTACCTAGTCAATAAGCTGAAATGAGTTTTTCTAATTACCTGTACCCGTTGCTTGGTGTTTGTCCTTCTGTAAACTTGACACATTTAAGACTTCTCCAGAACCACTGGCTTAATTTCAATCAATCTTCGCACAAGTCGTCCTCTTTTTAAATTGATATTATCGAGAGGAGACAAAAATATGGTTGGATCATGTAGAAAAATTCTTCTTAAGAACCACTGGACCACAAGAAACTTTTAAAAGTTAAAAACCTTTGACGTAGTCTAGTGTCCTTTTCTGATGAAACATATGGAGATGACGAATAGTATTTTAAATCAAAAATGCATAAAACAATGTAAAATAGAAGCAGAGAAAACACGGACCACCAAAACATCAGAGGTGGGATCAGGTGCCATGGATGAGTGAGCATCATCTGCCGACCGGTCACACCCGCTGTATGCTCCTTGTCATATTTGGGAAAAAACGGGAAAATCCGTCGTCAATTCAATGTATAATAATGGACTATCAATTAACATGAAAAACGTCAGTCAGCATTTGACTCAATGATAAATTGTACGAGCATTTGCTGACAAGGTCATTGTATCAACCAAGGAACTTACGAAATGATGATTTTAAACGAGAATGCTGATATTCTTGTTTCATCAATTTATTTGTCAATAATTTACCTTGTTTTAGAAATTTTCGTAAGCAGAGCATGCTCTTGCGTATCGAATCAACTGAGATATATAAACTCCATATGCAGGTGATGAAGGTATTAAATTGCTTCGTAAGTAAAGGAAGTTGACGGTAGAAAAGTTAAAGTGATCACGTTTATCATAGAACTTGGTAGTTAGATTACCAATAACGTCTTTTTCAAATAAAACATCCAATATGAAAAAGATGTGTCAGACTTTGTGGTATCATTTTTCTCAAGCTCCCCAGGATATAAAGTATCGACATAAGAATGGAAATTGCCATAGTTGATTGACAATACGTTGTCAATTTACCTAAATGTCGAGTTGAAGGCAACAACAATTCTTTTTTTTTTCTTTTTCTTTTCACACATAAGACTTTGCTACAATTCAGCTTCATATGAATACAAAAATAGATCTGCTAATAACGGGGCACAGTTGGTACTTATGGGAATTCCAATAGATTGTAGGAAGACTTGGTCTCCAAAAACAATATTGTCAATCAGAAACTCAAGCATCTTTTTTTATGTCAACTTCAGAGTACTGGTGTGTACAATCAGAATGTTTTTCAACAAAATAATTTTGCAAATGATCAATGGCAAGGTAAGTAAAGATTTACGAGTTCCATTTTTTCTTGAAAAAGCAGCTATCAATGATATCAAAATACCTGGACTTTCGGTTATCGTTGGGAATGGTTGTGTATAACGTTAAAAAGTCGTAAGTTTTTCAGCTGTTGATTTTGGTTAAGTCTTGTGATTTCGAATTGTCCAAACGTTCCTTGGAATTTTTAAGCATCCACATCTGATTTTCACCACTTCTTGAATATACTATTGCACAGTACTCTTAAAGTTTCTCCTTCACAACTATTAATATCTTAGTGAGGAGTAAAGAAATAGACTTGGTTGAACATATACTGGAACCCGCTATGTATCTTTGTAAGAATTCTTATGAACTTTCGGAATCCAATACATGTGTATAAATATATGGTAGTTCAAATTCATTTTGGATCTTTGGGATATTAAAATATTCAAAAGTGACATATGATTTTGAAGAATTTCCTCCTTAGAAAGGGAACTATGAGTATAAGTTAGATTACCACTTGTAGAACTTAATCCAAGTTCTTCTAAAATACAATTTATATAGTGAACCTTACAAACGAAGAAAATGGTGTTACCTGCTTTGTCAGCATGGACCAGTACGCACTGATCATGTAATCTATCTATATTTTTTTTTATCACTTCTGGATTATTGAATACGGATGGATAAATGGTTTTCATATTGCCCGTCAATCTTTTAATATGCGATTTTAACATGGATCTGATACATACATTTAAACCATTCTGACAAAGTGTCAACGTCTTCTTTTTCATATCTAGCCCATTGCATGGCGTAATCTTCAACAGAATGCATAATATTTATAAAATTCCGAGGCTAGTTGAATGATCGGGGTTCCCTATATTTTGAACCTTTTACAATACTTTCAGGTCCTCATTATTAACAATATTTACGTCACATGCAATAACGTGTTCAGCATGACTATAGTTATAGGGTGAAGAAGAATATTAACACGATGGAGGATTATGTTTCAGATACTGATATATTTTATTTCTTTAATTAAAATCTGCAACATGGCGACTTTCGTCATGTTGAAGATTTGATTTCAAAAAATAAAACACTGTGTCACAAATTCAATTTCAAATTTAGTTGTTTTCGATAAATGTAGAGACTCAAGAATTCATGTCCAACACGAAATGTAAAATGTTACATACATAACTAACTACTCGACAGTTCTTCATGCATGAAATCAAGTCCCCACAAAGACATTATATTCAAATCAAGAAAATTCGACCCCACGAAAATATATGATTTTACAGTGTCTCAGAAAGGACACTAGATTAATTCAATGCACTTAATTTTCGAATCAACGATCGCTTGAATTAGGACGGGGGCAAATTAGAACTGTTGCAACAAATTGGAATATTGCAGTTTAAAGAAAAAAAAATCTTTTTAAAAAATCATTTCAATAAAAGCAAAGCCATGGTTTGCCACATAAAATTACAGTAAGAAACATTTGAATAAAACTTCCATATTGGGTACTTGCATTTTAATAATCAGTTTGAATATACGCTGAAGATGTTTGCATATTTCAAAATATGACTAACTATTTTCTCCTGTTCTTTAAATATTTTTAAAAATATCCTAACCATATATTTCTGTATAAAAGTTTGATCTTACGCTGTAGCTCTGTTCTACGCCCATCGTGATTTGTACATGCATTGATTGATACTACATGTATGCCAAGAAAATTTAATATGAGTTTTTTTCCCAGTCTCTTTTGCCTCAAGACCATTAAGAGAAGATTATTTAAAGAAGTGACACATTTGCACTACATTTTAACCCAGGTTTTTCCGTAGGATTTTTTTTTTAACTTTGCATATCAATTATTCATAAATCAGAAATTTCAATATAAAACATAGCTCACTTCTAAAGACTTTTTTTCTATTCAAATATATAATATACATGTATCTTACTGCTCAGACGTTCTTGATGAAGCCTCTTTATTACAAACCACTCATTTATTTCTCGAAAACGACATTTACAAGACTTTAGACGGGATACAAGAACTTCCGATCAGTGGTCTAGTGTAGGATAACACCAGAGACTGATTTCATTCTGTCTATTGAAGTAGGTTAATATAGAATTAAACGTTCTTTTTTCCAGAATTTATCGATGTGTAAACTCATGCCTTTTTACTCACAAACTGAATAAAAGTGCCAAGCTCCACGTTTTGCCATTTATTTGAAGGTAGGATATAAAGTTATCAAACATTAAAAAAAATTGATAACTTGGAAAAACATAATGGGAAATATTTAGTATTTTGCCGACATAGGGAAATAACTGGTTCAATTGCTAATGCGTCTAATCCTATTGGAGGTTTTCATACTTTGATGTTTGAAATATTCGTATATATTTATATCATGAGAGCTACTCATTCATGCGTTCTTGCTTATATATGTATTCATTTGTATTAAAATACCCCATTGGGATTTTGTATTAAATAAAAATTTGAAACTCGACAGAAATCGGTACTTTTAACACAAAGAAAATCCGTTTTGCTATAGTTATCACCACGACA